GTAGTTAGACTGAGAGGGCTTGGTCAGCTTAAGAGATTCCAAGCTACTGTCGGATCTTCCGCAGTCTAATCAACAGTAAATCAACCCAGGGAAATTACAATTGAAACCTAACTAAGGAGCTAGGGGGACTCATTCCCGAGTGACTCTTCTTTGCTTGAGAAAATCCTACCAATTCCTGCTTTCTTTCTGCTTTTGCTTTAAACAACAAACACTTAACTTAGTTGGCTAGATAATAGATACTCACGGAGTAAGCAGTAGATCTAGACCCCAGGTTGATAATAGAACTTACCATTTTACTGCATTCCCGGACTGCGATTATACTTGGTCGCAGTTTGGTGTTGTGTTTTGGCGTGTCAGATAGCATGGTAAAAGGTGCCCACCTTGACGGCGTCATTGAAACCATGGTTGGGACACTTCAAGAAGAGGCTGGTGTACCTCTCTCAAGCATTCCGAATGGTTTCGTCCTCCTCCTGGGAAAAGTATGTAATCTCTTTCTATAGTCTACTGTCTGGGACGATGGATGATAGTGGGTCAATAATTTATTGGTCAGGTCAGTAAAAGTCGTGATTGACCCCGGAGCTCTGTAGTCCAGCCACATCTTGGACTGTCCCTCCAGATAAAAGGGAAGTACTGCAGCTGAATGGTATCCTGCGGGACTTCTTTAATCTTGATTCCATCGATCAGCTCGTAGAATCGTCGCAGGTGGGCTATGGGGCACTCGTTCAATTTTCCATGGAATACCACCGAGCCGCGCAACATGGTGATGACAGAGGTGCTCACCTCAAATTTGTTAGAGCAACTTGAGGGTGTTGGATAGAAGGCCTCATGTCTGCGGCTCAGGCAGTCCAGTAATGGCCCATGGTGTGCTCGTCGAGGACGACCGCAACATTAGCATTTGGGTCACCCATTTCCTCTTCCTGGTTGATGTTCAGCTAAGCTAGAGCTTCCTCCACAGCCAGTCGCTCCTTTAACTCCCTCTTGAAGTTGCGACAGGTCCTTTCAAACTCTTGGTCTAATGGCACTAGATCTCCCAACTGGCTACAGGTCATGCTCTACCTACACACAGACGGCAAACATAACCCGTGAAGGCACACAGGGGGGAGAAGGAAAATACAGAAAAGTAAATGTTAAAGTAACAGATTTTCACATTTCTCCAATAACCTAGAAGTCCCCGGCAACGGCGCAAAAAACTTGACTCGCTACGACACAACACCAAACTGCGACCAAGTGCAATCGCATAATGGAAATGCAGAATAGTGGTTTCGTTTTAATATCGACCCAAGCTCTAGATCTACTGCCTACTCCGTGAACTTCTATTATCTAGCAGGACTAAGTGAGTGAACTGTTTTCGAAGCTAAAGAAATGAAAAGCAAGTAATGTTCGGGTTCTCTTCAGGTGCTAAAGATAATCCAGGTATGATTCCCCCTAGTGTGCAGCTAGTTCAGATTATACGTTCCCAATTTACACATATTGATAGGTAAACTGCGAAAAGTTCTTTAATGGTCTGGACTCTCGACTAAAGTTATCAAGACCCTCTTGGTTCGAATACCTGGCAGGTGACTAACCTCCACCAGCATACACTAACCGAGGTTAATCACACAAAACTTCCTCTACTGACGCTTGTTCCAATACGGAGCGGTGAATCGACTTCTCGACTAAAGCAGTCGATTCGCCACTTTCAATTCAAGGTTGCACTTTTAACCTATGAAGAGACTATCGTTCTAGGTTAAAGCAAGAATTGCACAGGTTTGATAAGGACTCATGCAATTCTGATTAATTCCTCAATTGAATTTATCAAATTAATCATTCGCAAATGGGGTTCATACAATCATTCCTAACAAACACAGCTAGGGTTCTTCATACCCAGATGAAATGGAAAATTACTCCAAGGAGAGATGTGAGAACGTCATGCTCGGAGAAGACTTCATCAAAACGACAATGAGAATCTGCTCCTCGCGGCTAGTCGGTACTCTGAGGTTGAGGAATCAAGCTCTGAAGTCTTCAAATCGCTCCAATCCTTGCCCAAGGTTTTTTCTTCATCACTCTCTCTCTCTCTCTCTCTCTAGGGTTCTTTTTCAATCTTTAGAACTCAGAAAATCTAGATCCTTTTCCTTTTTCCTAAGCAACCCTGAAATAGGCTGAGATTCTGCGAGTTACGACCTAAGTTACGGTCATAACTTGGCTTGCATGCTCGTAGCTTTCCAGAAAATGGCGTCATTCCAGCGCTCCATAAACCAAGAATTACGACTTCTTTGGAGGAGTTACGTCCTCGACCGTAACTTGAGAAGGGAGGCCGTAACTTGAAGAATGTCGTCTGATCCTTTGGCTTCCATTACCTCAGAGTTACGGGTAAGGGGAGGAGGTCACAACCCAGACCGTAACTTGAAGGGTCTGATCGTAACCTTTAGATAGCTGTTGTAATCCTTGTCCTTTCCTTGGGAAGTTACGGGCCATCAAGGAAAGTTTTCCTGACCGTAACTTTGAGGGTCTGGCCGTAACTCTCAACTGCCTATTGCCCGTTTCTTTCCAAAACATCCCGAACCTCGCTCCTTCGCACCCGTTCACGCACTAGGACCTAAAACATCATAAACCTACACACCCAAGTGTAAAACAGGCCACGAGAGTGATAAACCAGACTCAAATAGTCAAGAAATGAAGGAAAAACATGTTCAAATATAGAGTTATCAACCTCCTTGACATGGGCCAAGTAGGGTTCACTCTTTTTTGGATCAACTAGAATGCCTTTACCGTAGAAATTAAGCCTCCTGGAATCTTCTTTATGTATCCTTGAATAATATCGTGCCCTTGCCCTCAATTTCAAGGCTAACCTCCTTCTTGTAACAATCCACCTTTGCTCGGTTCTTAGACAGCCAATCCATAACCAGTTTGATATCAAACTCGTCGAACGGTAGTAGGATCAAACTCTCTTCAAACTCATAACCAGCCACTATGATAGTGTTGTTCCAGATAACAAAGTACACTATCAACGTATCCCATACTAGGGTTCTCACTCCTAGGTTCTTACCCAACTTCACATATGGTATCCCTAAGTTTCTTGCAAACTTTATAGAAATAAGTCAATGCGTAGAACCAAAATTAATAAGCACAAAAGCTGAATGTTAGTAAAGAGTAATCATACCTGTCACCACTTCAGGTGCAACATCAACCTCATCTCTCCTCATGGTGAAGATCCTTGGCTGCCCAGCTGCTTGAGACCCGAGGCCCCTATCATTGCGGTTGAACCGCCCATTATTTCCTCCATTATTGTTGAAAGATCGATTTGGCTGGTTGCCTAACTGGTATCCAATGTGAGTTTTGCCTCCTCCACCACGAACAGACTATTCGGGCTGATTCCTCCCTTTACCTCCCTTATTAGGGCATTCTCTGGAGAAACAGATTGGCTCGTTGCAGTGAGGAAGCTCACCCCTAAGTGCAGTTTGCACTCTACCAGATGAATCTTCCCTGCAGTAAGGACACTGTCAGCAGCAATCAGTCCTCATCATCAGCTTTCATCTTCTGCAGGGTGCGAGTGACCTTGGAAAGCCACTTCTCAATCTTTAGAGGATCCGTAGAGCGATCCCCATCGAAGTCCTCCACCTTTCTCTTTCGGAACGTGCCATATTCTGGTGGAGGCCTCGGTTGTGGTTGTGGTGAAAGGTTGATGTGGGCATTACTATCTGTAGACAAGTATGGCCTTTTTAGAACTAGAGTTTTCAATATCAATACGATTAGAGTAGATTGGATAAATCCTTAAAAGAAAATCCTTGACTCGTTCGGCCAAATCTTTAACTAATAACATGTTTTCTTTTCCTTTAAAACAAAATTCTTTAAAACTGCGACCGATATTCCAATATTTCTTGGAGACCAATAAATAGAGGAATTTCGGCTCTAATACCAAAATTTCATATCTCGATCTGTAAAACCTTTAAATAATAGTTTTTCTCTGGACCATATGTAAAATTTTGAAAGAAAGGAATAACATTGTACTCAAAATATCAATAATCGAAAATAAATTATCTTACTTCAAAAGCAAAGCCCTAACCCTTGGGCAAACCTACAACCATAAGTCTTAATCTTTTAAGTCTCAAGTCATTACTCATAATCATAAATCAATATAAATAAAGGTCACAAACACTGTTTACTCCGATCTGTGGTCAACCACCCTAAGTATCGGTCACGTGGTCCTCCTCTGGTGGCTTGCTCTCTCGCTGGATGCTCCCTAGCTCCTCCTCTAGGACCTGGTGAGTGGGTTGGGGTCAATCTACGCCATTACTTAAACTCAAAACACTTAAGAGTATTCCCTTAAGTGTTCACCTCAAAACTTGTGGAAGATGTTTATACTTCCACCCTTTAAACTTTAACTCTTAAAAATGTGGGAGTTGGAGATACTCGCCACCCTTGAAATCCTAAACTTTTGGCCGGCACTCGAATACCCTCACTAACTAGTCCAGCCGCGCAACTCATACGTATGAGGGCCAACATAGGCATAACCTTTAACCTTTACTTCTTATGGGAGTCTTATTGATTAATCCCCATAAACTTTAAGAGCAAGTCATGCTCTTCCTTTAAACTTCATGTGAGTCTTATTGATTCATCCACATGATCCTTAAGAGCATACATTGCTCTTCCTTTAGAACATAAATTGATTTTTAGAGATCAATCAAAACTCAAATCATAACCTTAAAGCTTCCAGTAAATATTGAAAGCTCATAAACACATACCTCAAAAACCATACTCAAATGAAGAGCACACATAACAAACACAACATGCATAGTCTCAAACATCGATAACTCATAATACCGACATGCAACTTCATGTAAATACATACTGAAAAACTCGTAAGACAGTTACTTGAAAACAAGTAAGGCGTAGAATTTACTCTCTTAAACAACTCACCTCTCAACTCTCAAGTGACAATCCTTAGTTTCCTAGACGTGAAATCCTTAATAGGATAACTTCCTTAATCCTATAAATGAAATTATATTCCCTTAGTCGGTAATCCTCAGATTTAGTCCCTTTAACATATTGGAAAAATTTTACTCATTAATTACTTAGTTGCAAAATCCTTTAAAAATGCTCATAATCTCTTTCAAATAATTTCCTCAAAACTGGAACTTTTCCCAACATTTTTCAATACTTAATTCATATAAATTAAATAAATAACCTTTTAATAAACTTCATAAAATCCTCATAAATTTTCAAAAATTCCTTTTTCACTGAACACTCCAAATTCTGGCGTTAGGTAACTAATTATTAATCATAAATCACACTTTGAATCGCCCCCTTTTCATAATAAAACTTATTATGAATAAATTTCATGTTACAAAACAATAAAAATTTCGGTTGATCAACAATCTACAAAGTAAAATATATGCTTTACTTGATATAATTTCTGCCACATGTAAGTTTTATTGGTCCTCCCCATTTCACGGAAGGACTATTTAGACCATATTCCAAACACAAGCGTTTTCCCCTTCTTCTTTTTTGCAGCATACTGTCCCTTTCTCTTTCCAACAAAATTTTGCAGCCCACTTTTACAATCCAGCTACTTATAGGCTACAACACTATTTTGTAGCACAAACGGTTATTGCGCTCCCAATTTCCCACCGCCAGCTAATTTATCGGTCGAAGTTTCAGGACGCCGGCTACCTCGGCATCTTTTTCCATGACGGTCCGTTGCTTTGTAGAAAGAATTCCTATTGGCGTCCATTTGAGCTGTCGATTAATTCCAATTAAACAGTCGTTGCCATGGTGTTCGGTAAATCTGCAGCTTCGGTGGCGTGTTGGAAGGAATTAGTAGCTTATCTACATTGTTAGTGTTATCGATTTCCTGCAATCTGTGCTCTATAATAATCGGGCCATTGGATTCTGTAATTGTAAATAGGGTAATAATTTATTCTGTTATTAGGTAGGGGCAAAACTTTAATGGGTGAAAATGTTGAACCTACTCAATTGTAAGGACCCATTAGATTGGTATGATTCTGTAGTTCTATTTGTGTATAAATAGCAAGGATTGAGAAATTGTATTGTATTAGAGGGCGGTTTGATCAGAAAAATCTTTTACAGGAAGCGAAATTGATAGGTGATATTTAACGGTATGAAACAATTAATTACGATTTCAGCATACGAGAAATCCACCCAAAACAAAGAAGATGGATTGAATGATGATGAATAATAGTTCTTAGTTCCTGATAACTTTCTATGTTCTACTTTGTTCCTTCCCTTTATTGCTGCTCATTCCAAGCTAGCCGGAGATTTCAACCCCTTTTGGTTACTCCCATTGGTATTAGAACCTTTCTCTAACACCATTGGCGACGACGCTCTCTTTCCCCATTGAGGCGATGCAAGCCAATTTCAAAGAGATACATTGTTCTTATTTGGAACTCATGGTGATGCTCAGTGGATTGGAAAAATTATTTGTCTCCTTCTCCGAAAAGTATGCCAACGGGCAATCTTGACCAGGTTCCTTCTATAGCCTTCAATGGTAGTTTTTTTATGACCGAGATGGCCATTCAGGTGACATCGAGCCAGCTAAATTCTGAAATGGCTGATCTAACACAGCTAAGATATCAAAGATTCTAACTATCCGAATCGTTGAAAAAGATCTCAAAATGTTCATTGTTTGATGATTGTGATTGTTAACATTCAATGAAAATAAAAATATAATTTTGTATTAAATGACATGTTTATCCCCAATAAATAAATAAGAATGGTTGGATAAATATTGAGAATTTATTGATACGAAAATTTAGTGGGATAAATGATTCAGGCTCATTTGTATACTTTTTGCCCCCGGTTTGCTTAGTCGAAGAATTTTTACTCTAGGAGGTTTGATTTTACGCCGGGCTGTTCCTTATTTTGGTGTTTTTCAGGCTTTGGCAGGTGGAACCAACCCCAGAATCGAAAGTTGGACGAAAGGGTGAAAGATCAAGTCAAACGGTGGAAACAACAGCAGTTCACGGTCACTAAGATCGTGAACAGGAGACGTTTGTCCGTTAACAGGGTTAAGTGATGCGACGCGTTTCAAAGTTGGTTCACGGTCTAGGCTTTCAGTACATGACCGTGAACTAAGACCGTGAATTGAGTCCGATCTGGGTATATAAAGGAGGTTGGGCCAAAGGAGAAAGGAGAGAGACATAGTGTGAGAAACTTCTTCTTCTTCTTCTTCTTCTTCTTCTTCTTCTTCTTCTTCTTCTTCTTCTTCTTCTTCAGATTTCTAGAGTGAGAAAGTGATGAACCAAAGAAGAGGAGAAGCTAGGGTTTCATCTACAAGTAAGGAATTGGGAATTCCTCCCCTAAAGGAGGATTTTTTTCAACACTAGGAGCAAGGCTAGCATCTCTTTGATGGTTTCCCTTCTTCTCACTTGTATTTTCCCTTCTCCTAGCATGGAGTAGTCTCTTCTCTCACTTGGGTGTTTGTAAACCCTAGCTACAATTATGTGAATGCTTGTATAGATTAAATGATTTGTGTGTGGTTGTGTTTAATTTGAATGTGGAGGTATTATTCATGAATGATTGTGTTGTGTGAAAGCCTATCATTCTAACCTATGTAGAGAGAAAATCCCTACCTTTCTTTGAAAAGGCTTGAATGTTGGGTTTTCTTAGGCAATTCATTGCTTCCTAGTTAGGTTAATCCAGGGAAAACCTCTTATTTCGTATTATCACCTAGGGTTTGGTTGTGGGTGGCCGTCCGAACTCCGATTTGAGGGTGAACTCTAACCAATCCTTAGTCAATAGGTCGAGAGAGTCACATTGGTGGCTTGGATCGTATCCCCTTTCCTCGACCTAGAGACTAAGAGGGTGGCTTTGGCTACTTGTTAGACTTCCCTAAAGTTTACAACCCCCTCACCACACACGCCTATTCGATCCATCAAGTCGTAATTGCTAGCTAGGGGGAGCAACACCCGGGTGAAGCCTTCTCAATTAGTGTCAAATCCATTTATCTTTGCAAGCACTTTAACTTTAGACTAGTGTTTTCACCAAAAACCAACCGCTAGATAATGTTACAAACAATCAAAGTAGGGGTACATGAACCGGCCTGGGTCAATATTTAAACATACTTGTCCTGCACCCAGTCAAGGTTTATACTTGGGCCTTAATGTAGAGTTTTAAAGTGGTGCATTCGGGTTGAGTCAGGTTTTTGGCGCCGTTGCCGGGGATCCAACGGTTCATTATTTTGAAAAGATTGTTTGGTTTAATCTTGCTCGTAATTTTCGTTTTTGTGTGCAAATCTTGTTTGTGCTAGAAGTGTTGTGGTTCTTTTGAGTGTGTGCAGGAAGGTGTATGACCTGGAGTAATCCGACACCTTTGGAGGCCAATCAACCCGTTCAAGGAGCGGTCGCGGAGGAGCAACCGAGGACCATGGGCTATTACATGGCTCTAAGGCTGGCGGATATTCAACCCGCCATTTGACATCCACTCGTGGCTGCCAATTTTTTTGAGATTAAGCCCGGCCTTGTCACCATGATTCAAAACAATGCCCTATTCTATGGGCTTAGCAACGAGTCTCCAAGAGAGCATGTTCAAAAGTTCATTGAGCTTGCAGGGAGTTTGAAGATCAATGGTGTCCCCGAGGATATTCAAACACGTTTATCCACATATCATTACTATTTTGCATTGGAAAATTTCAATTTTGAATGACTAATCATATAGCAAGTAGTAAGCATATCATGGTAAAGCTTCTCAACACATTCCCACCCCACACTTTAAAATGGACATTGTCCTCAATAGACTAAAAGATATTGAGTCGTGGTAAGGTTGAAATGATTTACCTTTATTGTCGTTCTAAATCTGAATACATAACAACTACTTCTCCATCATTGCATAAGAAGCCTCAAAATGTTCAAATCAAAATAAAAAGGGACAATAGCTTCCTCAAAGTCTTGATACTCCAAGTTGTTGGGTCCTCCGGGCCCACTGTCGGGAAAGAGAGGGTGGAAATTCTTGCCAAAGTCCTCCATCCACGAACGACCCCACTGCTGCTCTGTCTCTATTGTCTAGTTCCAAGCTTGAGTCTCCTCAAGCTCTATATGTCTCTCTTGCTCAAAGGCAATGTTTTTCGTTCATGGTATGATATGCTATCAAGTTATCCACCTGCCTCTTCACGACTGCTCTCAAAGTTGCAATCTCAACTCCATAGCTTCCATGTTGTGGTCCTCCTGCCCACTATCTGGAAAGAGTGTGGAACTTCTTGCCAAAGTCCTCCATCCACTAATGGCCCCACTGCTGCTTTGCATTGAATCTCCTCAAGCTCTATTTGTCTCTCCTGCTCAAATGTAGTGTTTCTCGTTCATGGCATGGTATGCTAGCAAGTTCTCCACCCGCCTCTGCACGACTGCTCTCAAAGTTGCAATCTCAGCTCCATAGCTTCCATGTTGTGGTGGTGGAGGGTCGCAAGCTCCATAGCCTTGCTATTTGTGTATCCTCTCTAAGTGCACTGTTGGTCGTCCCATCTTTGTCCATGCTAAGTAGCATGTGAAATCATTCCCGGAGAGGTCTACACCTTTGCTTGTCATCCTCTGTACTCCAAAAATAAAAGATGGTGGCATGTGAATTAGTCTTTGCCTCGCCAAAACATCCCAATGAGAAAATTCATACTCCTCTTTGTGATCGTCGGTGTGCTGGGCTATAGTAAGTATTGCCACCTCCTGGAAGTCCTTTTGGAGAAGTAATAGTGGTGTACCCCAGAAGGTTGTTCACTACCAACCATGTTAGATGAAGCCACCAGTTGTTTAGAAGGGTATGATAAATAATCATATCACTGGTGGTCACCTTCCCAGCATCTCCTCTATGCCTCATATGAAACCTGGTTCAGCCGACGTAGTGCACGATCCTGAGAAATGGAAGATGAATAGAGGTTGGGGGTGAATATCGAACAACAAACCTAGCCTCCTAGCTCCTCTTAATCTTCTTTCATAGGTCCCAGAAGGGAAGTCTTATTGCTAGCAGCTCCTTCTATCAAAGAGCAAAAAAGGGCATTCGATAAGATTGTTTCATGTTCTGATGGCTTCCAATAAGCTACAAGGATAGCATCAGAGAGTGGCTCTAACGTATGATAGACATGAATCCCTAGCTTTCTGATGAAGCCGTCATAACTGTTATATGTCCCGAGAAATCTATATGTGATGTAGGTCTGGCTCGAAGTCCCTAATGTGTAAGGGTGGGCAACCAGTTCGGTAAATCTAAACCGAACTGAACAGAAACCTAATTAAACCGAACCAAAACCAAAATAATGCTATTCGGTTCGAAATTCGGAAGAAAAATATCGATATTTCGGAAACTAGGGATCTTTCAACCGAACCGAATTTTCGAAGTTCCGACCGAAAAAACCGAATTAGTACAATTGCAAGCTCCAAATGGTGGATTTTTATGTTTGTAGTTGTTTTGAGAATTAAATATATGAAACATGTTAGTGTTTTATGACTTATGTGTTGAAAGGTTTGATTTTATCATTGATGATGCATATAATTACATATTTATTGTTTACATTAGGAGTGAAAAATAATTTAAAAGAGAAAAGATACAAAGTTCCGACGGAAAAACCGAATTAGTATAATTGCAAGCTCCAAATGGTGGATTTTTAAGTTTGTAGTTGTTTTGAGAATTAAATATTTGAAACATGTTAGTGTTTTATGACTTATGTGTTGAAAGGTTTGATTTTATCATTGATGATGCATATAATTGCATATTTATTGTTTACATTAGGAGTGAAAAATAATTTAAAAGAGAAAAGATACAAAGTTCCGACCGAAAAACCGAATTAGTATAATTGCAAGCTCCAAATGGTGAATTTTTAAGTTTGTAGTTGTTTTGAGAATTAAATATTTGAAACATGTTAGTGTTTTATGACTTATGTGTTGAAAGGTTTAATTTTATCATTGATGATGCATATAATTGCATATTTATTGTTTACATTAGGAGTGAAAATTAATTTAAAAGAGAAAAGATACAAAGTTCCGACCGAAAAACCGAATTAGTATAATTGCAAGCTCCAAATGGTGGATTTTTAAGTTTGTAGTTGTTTTGAGAATTAAATATTTGAAACATGTTAGTGTTTTAGACTTATGTGTTGAAAGGTTTGATTTTATCATTGACGATGCATATAATTGTATATTTATTGTTTACATTTGGAGTGAAAAATAATTTAAAAGAGAAAAGATACAAAGTTCCGACCGAAAAACCGAATTAGTATAATTGCAAGCTCCAAATGGTGGATTTTTAAGTTTGTAGTTGTTTTGAGAATTAAATATTTGAAACATGTTAGTGTTTTATCACTTATGTGTTGAAAGGTTTAATTTTATCATTGATGATGCATATAATTGCATATTTATTGTTTACATTAGGAGTGAAAATTAATTTAAAAGAGAAAAGATACAAAGTTCCGACCGAAAAACCGAATTAGTATAATTGCAAGCTCCAAATGGTGGATTTTTAAGTTTGTAGTTGTTTTGAGAATTAAATATTTGAAACATGTTAGTGTTTTAGACTTATGCGTTGAAAGGTTTGATTTTATCATTGACGATGCATATAATTGCATATTTATTGTTTACATTTGGAGTGAAAAATAATTTAAAAGAGAAAAGATACAAAGTTCCGACCGAAAAACCGAATTAGTATAATTGCAAGCTCCAAATGGTGGATTTTTAAGTTTGTAGTTGTTTTGAGAATTAAATATTTGAAACATGTTAGTGTTTTATGACTTATGTGTTGAAATGTTTGATTTTATCATTGATGATGCATATAATTGCATATTTATTGTTTACATTAGGAGTGAAAAATAATTTAAAAGAGAAAAGATACAAAGCACTCTTACAAATTCGGTTTTGTTTGAAATTTCGAACCGAACCGAATTATAATTCATTTTAGACTGACCGAACCGAATTATAATTCGGTTGAAATTCGATTTGAAGTTTGGTGAAATTCAAATACCCGGTATTCATAATTTCGATTCAATCGAAACCAAACCTGTCGAATGCGCACCTCGTATGAAACACATTTATAATTGAATTAAATCAAAATCTCACCTAATATACTCTTAATTTAATAACTAAATTAGCATACCGATTGTCTTATTTTCTTTTTACCTCGTGGACCCTACCGCTCTTGCAGTCTCATCTTTATATCTTATTCCTGAAGGAAGAAAAACGATCTACCAAAACTACCCTTTGCTCCCCTTCTCTAATCACATTAACTCCCTCCTGAGTCCTCACTGCCCCATCCACCGTGTCTAGTACAATACCATGTAACAGAAGTACACTGTGATGTACATATTTCAACCATTTGTATAATGACCAGCTTGCCCACACACCACCATCAACGTTCGTTCCTTTTCCTCTCCTCGCGCTCTGGGCTGACTCGTCAAATCGCATCCCACAACCACCCTTGCGTGTAACACTTTCCACAACCCCACCTCACGCAAAAAGCTCACCCTTTTTATCATTTCACCTCCGTGGACCCCTGCTCCGACATGAAATGACTAATCTGTCCCCACTTCTCTCCTCGGATTAGTTTCTTCCTTCCCGTCAAACAACGCATTTGCGACTGCAAATTTACCCACCATGGAGATTTTATGTCATTTACTACGGGGTAAAACTGGGAAGCGCTCTCTTATCGTTTTTCACCCATAAATCCAAAACGTGTCGTCGTGTCGAACACATAACGGGACGGGCAAGGGCTCCTCTCTGCTCGACACGAGTCCAGATTTACATCCCTCTCGCCACGTAGGACCCAACACGTGGCTTTCGTGTCCCTGTCAGCTCTCCCCCTCTCTTCCCGTTCCCGTTCTCTTTAAAATCCCCACCCCACGCCAACCGTTCCTCTTCTTCGCTTTATCGCCTTCCCTTAAAAAGAAAACTAAATTAAAAAAGCCTAAAGAAATCCCCACACGATCACTCAGTTCCTCCCGTCCTTTCCTTCACGGTCTCTCAACTTTTTCCCTTTTTTTTTTTTATTTCCTTCAAAAATTGTACTGTGTTTTTGTCCTGTTCTCGTCGCCGGAGATTCGATGCTCGTGGCCGGAGATAATGGATGCCCCCGCAATCGATTTATCTCCCAGTAGCCACAGTGAAAGCGTGACGCAACCGTGTTTAATTACGGTGACTTGCTAGTTTCTAGAGAAAACCCTAAGCAAAAGCGAATTTTTTTTAAAGCTTAGCAGAGTTTAGAAGTTATTCTCTGCTCTGTCTTGCGAATCAGAGGCAAGCAAAAGAAGAGAAGAAAAGAAAAGGAGAGAGAGAAAAAAAATCTATATAATGGTGAGGGAGATGGGAAGCTTCTAGTTCTAGGCTAAAATGGCCATGTCTTCTGTTTCGAACTTGAGAGGAGTCCTGAATTCCGGTAAACGCATTTAGCCTTTGCGGCGGAAATCCAGTAAGCGGATTCCATTATCTTCGCCCTCGCCTGTGGCAAATTTTGTTGTTATTGACCGAGGTCCTGGAGTTTGATTTTTTTTTTGTTTGGATTTTCTTCAGACGATTGCGGTTACTCGTATCTTGCTTTGTTGATTTTTTTTTTTTTTTTTGTACCGAGGGCCAAGTATCTGAATAGGAATTTTGAGTTTTTGGTGGTTGTATAGGTAATCCAGTGGTTTAGGTTAGATGGTTGATTTGTAATAATGGCGATGAACAGAGTTGTTGAGGGAGTGTGGAAGTGGTAATTGCGTGATCGATTGATTACTTTTCCGAGCGCCGATCATGCCTCTGACTATGAAGATTCAGCCGATCGACTCACACGCTCCCGAGGAGCGCGCTCGAGTGGAGGCAGTGAAGCCGGTGGTGAAATCAAGACTGAAGCGGCTGTTCGAGCGGCAGTTCTTGCGGAGCTCCGCCGCCGAGAAAGTCGTCGAGGAACCGCATTCCAACGGTGAGCTTGAGCCGAGCTCCCTGTGCTTAGCCAACATGGTGCAGAGCTTTATCGAGGACAACAACGAGAAGCAGCAGTCAGTCAAGTGTGGCCGCAACCGCTGTAACTGCTTCAACGGCAACTGCGACGATAGCTCAGAAGATGAATTTGACTATTTTGAAAGCGGAGGCGAATGGAACCACGCTTCCTGCGTCGTCGGCGACGCGTGTGAAGTTCTGAAGGTAAAGAACTGACCGAAATGTTTGTTCTGTTCAATACTTTCATCGTACTTTCCCTCCGACTTGCCTGTAGCTGGAATTGCCCTAACGATTCCCTCCCAATTATTTTTTTTTTGCGTGTGCAGAGTTTGGTGCCTTGTGCAAGCGTGGCAGAGAGGAATCTACTGGCGGACACCGCTAAGATCGTTGATAAGAACAAGATTGGCAAACGTAATGACGAATTTTGCAGGAAGATTGTAACTGATGGTTTGACAGCTCTGGGTTACGACGCTTCTATTTGCAAGTCTCGATGGGAGAAATCTGTGTCGCACCCCGCTGGTACTTTCCCCCTTTCCTTTCCACTCTGTTTGACGGGGATTCAGCTCAGTTTAATTGAACTGTTGGTTATGGGATTTGGAGAGTAATGACATTACAGAACCCTGATTCTATGCATGGGTGATGAACACAGGGGAATACGAATACATAGATGTTGTGATGATTCCAGGGGCCGAGAGGTTTCTAATCGACATTGATTTCCGCTCGGAATTTGAGATTGCTCGGCCGACAAAGGCCTACAAGTTGGTCCTCCAGACGCTGCCATACATCTTCGTTGGGAATTCTGATCGCCTTCAGAAGATTGTGGGGGTTGTATCTGAGGCAGCCAAGCAGAGCATGAAGAAGAAGGGAATGCACATTCCGCCATGGAGGAAAGTGGAGTACTTCAAAGCGAAATGGCTCTCTCCTTACACTAGAACGACGCCATCACCTGCTGAACATGAATCACATGCTCAGCATCAGAAGAAGCAACTTCTGGTTCCAGACATTAGTAGTAAGTTTGAAGTGGCTTCTGAAGAGCAGGACCAGGGGGCAACTGAGGCTCCGGAGCTGGCTCCGGCTTCCACTCTGAAGAGTGATGAGCAGGAACAAGAGAAGGCCGAATCAGTTTTAGTTTCGACTCCGAAAAGTCATGACCAAGAAGAAGCACAAGAGCTGGTGACAACCATGGTGGTTGCGAAGTGGAATCCACCTGAGACCCTGCCCAAAAGTTCTTCTCCGAGGAGGGCCAAGGTCGTTGCCGGTTTGGCTTCCGTCATTGCGGACTAGCCGGAGAAATTTTGATCTTTGTGTTTTTCCCTTGCACCTTTTTCGTTTGTTTGTTTGTTTTGTGTCCAGAAGACTCCAGAGTTTCCCACTTAGTTATTCTGGAGACCGGAGTAGTAACTAGTATGATATAACTGATCAAATCCCCTTCTGCTTTTTTGTGTAAGGGTCTGATTTTACTAATATCAATAAGACTACGACTATTACTACTACTGAGCATGGGAGAAGTCTGTATGTTACATTCTCTGCACAATCATAGAGACTCCATCTGCTGTTCATGTGCTGTATATGCAGTCCTCATTTTCTTTCTACATTGATCTTTGCAATGTAGTGATGTCTGTGTGGTCCTTAATCCAGGCAATGACTGGAAATGCATTGGATTCACTGACTGCCATTTTCTTCTTGTTTTGGTGAGAGGGGGTCCATCCTCTGGAGGAGGAACAACTTTGTTGTAACATCTCTATCGTGCTTAGTAACTACTGCTCTATCTAAATGTTCATCATGGTACTGAAAGGGAATAACCATTGGCTTGTCTTGTTGCTTCGTGTTTCTTTTGTTTATTGTTGTATGCAGGTGTTATGATTTACCTCACACATACGGAGTTATCGACCAGACTTGAGAAGAGCAGAGTGACGCCCTACCATACACACTTATTTTGATCTCATTCGAAGGCAGAATCGTGGGGAGTAAGAGTCCAGCAACAAGGTCAGCTTTCCGGCGAGTTGGGTTCTTGTGGTTCGAGCATGTAGAGTCGTTGAATGCGCTTGTTTATGGAGCTTGATCGAGTAATAGCCCCTGCTGCATGTAGTCCTCAAAGCCTGGTAGTATGTTCGTTCCATTTCCTTGGTCTAATAGAAGTTAGTTGTGAGATTTAATGAAATCGAATATCTTGGTTGCAGAGTGTTGAGGAACAGTTCTTCTCCCTCTTTGCCGTATTCGAGAGGGAAGCAGAGACAGATGAATCAAACACCGTGCACTGAAAGATAAGTATTGAAAGCTGTTGGCAGATTGAATGGAAGGGGCAGCGAGATTTGGCTTTATGATGGTCTCGGTATTCCAGAAATGGGGAAATAAATATTTTGGCGTTTGCTTGTGGCAGAGGCAAAGTTGAATGGATGGAGCCAAAGTTAGTTGGGAGAAAGCAAAGCAAAGCAAAGAGAGAGATGCAGCGACTCGAGGTTTCATTGATGCCTCCAATGGAAGCAGCAGCTCTCTCACCCTGAAATGGATGTCATCATTTGGCAGGTTTTGGTGATCAACCGTCAGCAAGCAAAATGTGGAAGGTAACCTAATTTGGTTTCTCGAAAATTAAAGATGGGGGGGCTTTGGTTGACGAGCATTTCATTGAAACAGATGTCTCATCTGATGCGTCTAATTTGTGGCTTTTTATTTTTGATTGATTGCTTTAGCATTAGGTAAAGCATCTATATCATGTCAACCCTGATATGGGGTAAACTCCCAGGTTAAATTTGTTCGTTTAATAAACACGTACAAACGTGCTAAATGATCGTTGGGCTCGCGTATTGGACATTTTGCGCGCGGTCAAAGAACAAATCACGATGAACATTTTGTAAATAAAATGTCATCGTGCTCGTTCGATTGCAAAGTGTCTAATACGCGATCCGACGGTTCGAAAGCACGTTTTCACCCACCGTGGTAGTGGAAATGAAACAGGCAGGCAGGGAGCCCGTGTGTTGTCCCATTTTTACCGTGGGATGAGGGTGGTGGTGGAGCGTTTTCTTGGAGTTTTGTCGGTTTGTGGCAGGGAGTAGGGTCCCGAGAGAATCTTGGGAGTTGAACCCAGGTAAGGCTTGGCTTTTTTATTTTTTATATATTGCTTTGCGCAGAGTTGGTTTGACGTTTCCTAGATCAATCATTGCATTTCGTAAATTTCTGTGTAGTACTCGTACTGTCACAAGAAAGAAAGAGAAGATAGATGCTCTGCTATTTCTTAATAATAATGGCTTCCCCGTTTAAAAAAAATTAGACAAGTAAGCGGAGGGTGGGTGGGGTTAAGAGTTGGACATCCATCTAATCTGTAGACGGATATAGGGGTCCCCAACCCCCTTTGGCATTTGGATGAGTAAATGCATTTTACTCCCGTGAAAGCAACATTTTACCTACTCCTGCAACGGCCCTCCCTCCCACACAAAAAAAAAAAAAAAACTACACCGTTGGTCCTTGCAATCAACCTCATCATCAATTGTACAAAGTTAAAAGACAATTCAATTTATAACATATGAGGTGTAGTCCACGAGTGTTACGGTCGTCGTCTTTTGTGCATTGTTCTTATAAACGGTGTCACGGTGATCGATCCAACGGGGTCGAATGCCGTCGCATTTAGTCGAATAGTGGGTGTTCATCAAGCAAGCAAGTAGCTTTGTTGTTAATGATGTCCTCTTTTTCATTGGGGGAGCATGTTTTGAATTTGAGCCATATGTATAGAAGTAGTAGTAGGCATTAGTGTTGGGGGAAATGGTGTGCGGACCCACCACATGTGCGATGTATATCCTTTCTTTATCTGCAAGACCGAAACGTTAAATCCTGTGGTTTACTTTAGGGGGCACGTGGGGCGAGCCAAAATTGTGGTCTTGAGAAATAACTGGAAATGGTGTTGGATATTGCAACGTGGGTGGTTAAGACTTCAGAGGCCGTGCTTCTCTGCGCTTCTGCAAGACTTGCCTTGTTCATCCACCGCAATGGGGTTTTGAGTTCAGTTTGTTACTTTGTTAGGCAAAGGTTTAAAGTAAACGTACGCCGTATTGCCCAAAACGGGACTAGAGGGCCAAAAAATATAACCGCAGCTTTCCCTGCCAAACTTGTATTGCTAACACTCTACCTGGATCACATTCACATCACATTAGGGATGGTTATTTGGTCCGGACTTTTAATTTTACCTGAAATCAGACCGTATAATCTGAACCGAGATCGGACCGAGACCAGATAGCAAAAATTCTAATTCAATTTTCGGGTCTAGATTTGAGGTAAAAAATCGTTCGGAACTGGACCGAAAACCGGATAAAGTCCGGATAAGAGAGACCAACCCCTAAAATTTGAGCTCCTCACCCTTTCAGGCCCCAGGCCACTCAAATTTCCCCTGAGGCCATTTAAATCCACACAAGCTCAATCTAAAATCAAAATCCAATTGAGACCGGACCGTTTCAAGCCCAGACTGTATCCAATAAAAATTTTTGGTCCTTATATTCTCGAAAAGATAAGACCTGAATCGAATCAATTTGGGTCAATTTAACCGGATCGGACAGTATAACCACCCCTTCATCACATACACTACGATACAGTAACATTATGTTTACTTATCAGATGTTTATATTCGGATACACTAACACGCGGCCAGTAGAATCAACTTGCAAATAGTGGGAATGACATATCCTTGGGGTACTATGTTTCGAACGGTGTAGCTGCGGCTTTAACCTACTTGCCTTGCCTATGTATGATTATTTTTCATTCTCGATGGCAGTAAAATCCAGAAATTTTCTAGGTAGTTAGTAATGTGTACTGTAAATTTGCAATGCTATCGTCTTTCCTTTTGGCACATAGAATGGTAGTTTTTTTTTTTTACTTTATCATTCTTGTGCTTTCTTTTTTCCCTTTTACAGGACGATGAAACATGTGCGGGAATGCACAAGAAATATAAGACTACCAGTAAAGTAGAGCGGCCTAGGGGATGGACGAAAACATATAATTATATAAAGAAAGGGTAAATGTTAAGTAGATGCTTTAACATCTGCTAAGTAAAGATTGCTTGTTTGGGATAATGTGGTCCAGTGGAAAAGCTTGTACTCATTCCCGCAAAGTCAATAATGTCCCATACTCGCAAGTTAACCTAAATTGTCAAGAAACATGACTTCATCTAGACCATGGTTGTCACGCCGGTCGGCGTGCCACTGGTTGAATCTGGTTCAACCTGTACCGGTCATAAAACTGGTATGACACCACAAGTATAATCGATATACGAATCTCTAAGTAAAATGATCTTATATTAGTGAATTTATTTGATAAAAAGTAATTTATTATTTATTTTATGTGTTAAAAAGTTAAATGTTGATGTTATTTGTTGGATTCAAGTACAAATATTTTGATATTGACGTTAAATGCCGTGCTTAAATATGAGTATTTGTAAATTATTTGTAATATTAACCGGCATGAACCGGCACAAACCGGCATGTACCACCGGTCGAACCATTCCACTTGCTAAACCGGCACACTGACACAAACCGGTTTGACAACCTTGATCTGGACGCTTCTCATGTGCTTGGGGCCCGTGGTTTAGATTTGGATAGGAACCTTTTGATCCATCAACATAATTGGCGTAGCTGGGCAATTGCTCAATTCTAGAATTGAAGAATTATAAGGATGCCAATTATTAGGTCGTGATAATCTACTCATGGATCCTTGTAAACAATGAAATCTACTCATGGATGCAAAATCACGATAACACAATGTGGTCCTATACGTGGGTAAGTGTAGCAATCTTGAAAAGAAAAGAAAAAAAAAAGGGGGTGCTTCTCGTGAGAAATTGTCATAAGGAGGGTACCGGTGATACTCAACCTCACAAATCTGAGTCCAATTGAGGTTATTCATTGTCGATAAAGAATTAATGAACTAAAATCTCAATTTGTAGTGTGTCCCAATCTATTGTCCTAAAGATATGAGAAGAGATATCCAACCTTATAGATTTAAGGGGGCTGATTTTACTATTCAAAAGCTCAACTTATTGCAGGCATGTGACCAAGTCCAACAATGAAATTTGACCATTTTTATCCTTTTCAAATTATGAAATATGCATATGGGGGGTGCTCTGGTCGACAAAGCTTTTTTGTAAAGAAAATTTCTAAGTTAAGGTTGATTTAACTTTTATGTAACTCTTACAGTAATTTGGCTATAATTTCAATTTTCAAGTAAGATAACTTACATAAATCTAAACCGTTAAAATCAATCAAACTTATCTTAAATCATTGATTAAAGAAATAAAAAATAAAAAAACAAGGAAAAAAATAAATGGCAAAAGAGGTTGCCGGTCACCACCTTCATAATATACCTTTTTTGTTTTTTTTCCCTTCATTTTTCACATTTAATTGGTCTTTCTTATTTTAACCTTTCCTTTTTTAATTCTTATTGAATTAAAAGTGTTATGTAAAATTTCCGTAATGACTTAGCTTTTTACGTAACACGACATTAATACTCATTACGTAAAGAGACCTTCCATTACGTAAGTCTTCCGTAATGACATTTTATACAACTGTTACGTAAAATACACATTCATTATGTAAAGGTTACAGAATGATAGTTATTTCTTACGTAACAGTTAAATCGGAAGCGTTACGCAAGACTTCGTAATGACTTAGCACTTTACGTAATGTGAGGTTAATACTCATTACGTAAGAAGACCTTCCATTACGTAAAGGTTACATAACGACAATGATTTCTTACGTAACAGTTAAATAAGTAGCATTACGTAAGGCTTCCGTAATGACTTAGTATTTTACGTAACGAGAGGTTAATACTCATTATGTAAAGACACTATCTATTACGTAAGGCTTCCGTAATGAACTTTTACAACTGTTACGTAAGATTGCCATATGTTACGTAACCATTACGTAATGCCTATTGTATTTTACGCGACCTGTGAAACCTGCTATAACAGGCAAAAAATTCAAGTTACTTTACTTCAAGTTACCATAGTAAATCCCTAACTTTTATGGTCCAAAAGAAATAGTTCACCTATATAAGTGGTTCATCTGATTTTTCATGGGTTTGGATTCCGAAATTGAATCTCTTGGTGGCATGGCATCTGTTAGTGTTATGAGCTAGAATGACTCGCAAGTTTACCCGGTATTCACAAGGACAAAATTAGTTTGTGAAAAAAAAACATAACAGTCACACATTTCCTTCCCTCTATTTTTGAAGAGGGCGACTCCTTTATACTTTGAAGTGGCTCAATCACTGCTTCTTGGGAATCTCTCGGCTAAAATATAATTCAATAACAGAGGGCGTTGGGATGGACCAGCTCTTTTTCCAGGTCCTTGCTCTGTAACAACAGCGCGATTGAAGCCCACGATGATCAAGCTTAGCTATAGATTAGATGAGAAAGAGAACCAATGAGGCATCAGGCAATTGGTTAGAAACTCAGGAACTAAGCTTCATCAAGTTCTCTATTTTTTTTTCTCTCTTTGGCGTTTTTGTCCTTTTGGAACAAACCCAAAGCCAAAACACATACATATTTTTCTTGTAATTAATTGGGTTTTGAAGTGTCGGTTGAAAGTTGAAGTTCCGTCGGTTCTCGCCGTTTCATGATTTTAATCCCTGAAAATAATACGACGCATTTGTCTTTTTGGGTGGTGGAACCTCTTTTTACCCTTTTTCCTCTACAGTAGTCAGAAGAACTTTGGACCACCGACCGACGCCACAATTGTTCTACTAGCTAGTGCTAGCAATGATGGTATCTTTATCCTGGGGGTGAGTAAAAACTAGCTAGCTGATCTTCTTCTATAAGGAGTTAAAAGGGTTAATTATTAATTTTTCAATAACTCGAGTTATTGGGGTCAAGTGGTTAGTTCGCAAACATGGTATCAGAGCCTAGAATCGAAAAGTCATGATTTGGAATCCTCATGACAACTCCTATTTTCAGCAATTTGTTTAGCACAAAGGATGGTATGTCCAACCTGTACAAACTAAAGCCTCGTGGTTTGGCAGCACAAGGGTTCAACCGCTATGGTGGGATCAAAGTGGTAGAGTTGAATTGATACCCTTTAATTTTTTCCTCCTTTGTGAGAACTGAAGTGTTGGATAGAGCTTTCATCAGAGTTGAGGGTTGCTTTCGGCACATGGTGGTGGGTGATGTAGGCTGCGCAGCCCAGGGATTTGCAGAAGATGGAGAAGAATAATCAAGGGATATCTCGGACTCGGAGGTTTTTGTTGTTTGTGCCCGCTTCTGTGTCAGGAAGAAAAATTGAATGATGATGACAAAGGTTGAATTGCCTCAACGCTTTACGCCCCATTCCGTCTTCCTTTCGGTTACATCTCATCACTTACAAAAGAAATATTCTTGTACCTTGTAGTCTTCATTTGATACGGTGGAGGATATACTAGTACTACCATTTGTGAAAGGATCGAGGTCTTATGTACTACGCACCTCGTATGCCGGAGGATGAGGATGGGTTGTCCAAGTTTGAGTACTTCAACCAACAGTTGTCCATGAGGTTAAGATATTCCAACGTTGTTAATGTATCTTGTGTTTTGTGGTTATGGTCATTCGATGTATTTAATGCAGGGATGAGTAACGGGTGGGTTGGGTGGGTTTTTGGACAAAATTCACGGTGATGAGAAAATGATCCACACCCACCCATTTGTATCGTTGTGGGTGGGTTGGGTGGGTGACAACGGATGGTGAGTAGGTTTGACGATTTTGATTGGTCAAATTATTTTTAAATAATTAGAAAATTATGAGCCATAAACGTTGCTTAAAATTAATTGAATATTAATACTACAAATCAAGAAAACTGATAGCTATTAAACGTAGTTTATCGCATAACCTAACACTAATTATCTAATTTGCGAACACAAAATATTGGGTTGATAGTCTTATCATATTTTAAAATGATCGATTTTATGTTGTAAAATCAAGTAAAATATATAAAAAATAATTTTAATTTAATTGAATCAATCACGATCGAAGTTTTGGTATAAGAAAAAATAATATTTTATTATATAATATGCATTAACGATTTAATATATCACTAGTTTTTTGGCCCGCGCTATGCCGCGGCAAGAAACTAAATCTATTTTATATTACAGTCTTTGATTTAATAATTTAGTTGAAATCAAATAGTTTAGAAAATAGTTTGGGTAAGATACTTCCATAAGTTATGAAAATTATCATCTATGATTAAATTTTTATGTAAAATTAACTTAACCTCCAATATTTTTGAATGCAAATAAATGAGATGGTTAATACTTTAGTTAAATTTTAGGAATTTAATTCAAACTTATACTATGGAAGATTTATATATTATATTTTTTTGAATTTATACATAAAAATTATTATCCCTCCATAAGTTTTATGTAGTGTCTTAGTCATTACAAATGACTTATTTGATATATGATGTTTAACTGATACATAAGGAATAATTATGTATGAATTTCCAATTTGCATAATTGTTATAGAATGGTATTACGTAATCATTCGTAATGTGTGGTATAATGATAGAGTTAGCCAAGTTATTACATATATCAAGCAAGTTATGTAAAGAATCACATTCAATTAAACTACTATGTAAAAGTTATCTTACCTTACAGAACTTTTGCGTAATAAAAATTGGTGAGATGATGAACATTGTAGCTAATAATTAGTTTTGCATAATGTATTTGTATTACGCAACTATAGTTGACTAATGAAAAGGAATTCATTGTGAAATTAGGTGTTATCGAAAAATTCAACGATATTGTATTTTGTGCCGAAATTGAGGTTTAACCGTCGTATAATCATTTATATCGCTAAAAACAACCTATCGACTTAAACTCGAGAGTAGATTTTTGATCGAACCATCGATACTATCCGACTTTTTAATCCTTGTGTTTTTATTATGGTTACCAATAAAAAAATTTGAATCATTATAATTAAAAAACTCTGAATGTATGAATAAAAATGGTAAAATGGAGAAGATAGTGGGCTTTGTGTGTGGCAATTGTCGGTGGTCATTATTCTTGGAGGAGAAGAAGATTATATATTGATGATAAGCTATGGTAAATATCCAACGATCATAAGCTATGGTAAATAGTGGTATAAGACTGGACTGGAATTCAACATAAGCAAAATCGATGTTGTACATATGTTGGGAAAGGAACGCGTAAAGGGCTAAAGGCCAGGCCACCAACATCCATCTCAGATCACAATAGCAATACTGCAAAAGCATAGAAGGGAATTAACTTTTCTTGGTTTTGTTTTGATAAAACCGGGGACGGGTCGGGTAGGGTGTAAGTCAATACAGGCAGTTATGGATCATCATTTTGCCTTGTTGAAGAGGCAAAGAATAAGGTTAGGTGGGTTGTTGTTACCTGCCGACCATTATTTACCATCATCCCTCCTTGTTCTTTTTCTCTCTTCTCATTTCATTTATTTTGATGAAAATGTTATCTTTTGATGTTATTTAAATTGCTTGTTATGTTTATTATTCGGAGTGTTAATGTTTTTATAATTATATTTAAAAATAATACAATTATAAGTGAATTACATTGATATTTTGCAATAAAATTAATATAAGTTGAATTGTATAAATTGTAATTTTTAAGGTGGGAATAACAACATATTCGATTGATTTTGTAATTGCATTGATGTAGATGCTTTAATGACTAAATCATATCTCCCTACTAATCCATGTTATATTTTTCACACTCCTTAACTAACAATCGAGAACATGAAAATTATTAATAAAAACATATGACATACACGGCCTATGTTACTTTGGTTCGGTTTTTCAAATTTCTTCATTATTTCAAAATATTAATTCTATTAAATACCTTTAAAAGTGAAAAGTATTTTTTTATAGCATAAAAGCATTTTTTTTTTAATTTCAATTATTTTCAAAGTACGACATTTACAAAATAAAATTCAGTTTATCTAATTGGTAACAACATATAATATGACCACTTTTTCAAATGTCGGTTAAATCCCAAAGTATGATTTCATATATTGTCATTTACAAAAAAAAAAAAAAAAATATGACAAATACATATATCATTGATACTTCTAATTGTTATATTGACACTCTAAATGTCACTATGATAATTATTGACATGTTTATCTTAACAATTTGGCGAATGAGGGCCAGTCCAACTGGTGAAA